AAGCAGACAATAGTGTACTTTGGATTCTGTTCACAAATACAACACAATTCCCATACGAAAGACTTATTTTGTCAAATCCTTGAGAATCAGAGCCTTTGGTTAACAAGTAATTTGTGAAACGACTTCATGTCTCAAAACTAAGTTTTGTTGAAAGTATTGGTGAGAATAAAATAAAGTGTTTTTCCTCTGCATTAACCCTAAGATTGACTAAATTTAGATCAAATGAAATGAGAAAATATTACAATTGTTTGGAATAACGCCAGACATAAGACATGAGAATCTGTTATCAGTTGACTCTTTAGAAATATATATGAATATAAATATCGTATCATTTGTTTGCGAAGTTATCGCAAATACAATACATTAGCAAATAATATATTATATAATAATAGTTGACATGAATTACAATCTCTATTATTGACAAAAGGATTCAATGGATGTATTGTATGTTTGCGTTTATGACTTACTTTGAGTGTTTTGCAAATGATTCCCAGCGATTGGATTTCATGGTTTGAATGTCTCATCTCATGGGCACAGGTATTACAGATCGGAATTTTGCAATTTATACAAAATTTCTCCAAACAATTGTCGGTGTGTTCAACACATTTGAGCGCAAAGTTATTGCTTCTGCTTTTTGATCGCATAAAATGTTTGGTCAGATGAGCGCCGATCAGCTTATGTGTGGCCAGTGGTCCCCTCGGAGGGTGACATCTCTCGCGACAGGTCTCGCAGTAATACACTTCGCATTGTTCGCACATAACCGACGCTTCTTTGGGATCAGTTTCGCAGAGTTGGCAGTGAGTGGAGAAGTGCTTTGTGTCGCAGAACTTCTCCACAATTGACTGCATTGTCCTATTCTTCGGCAAACTATTGGCTCCGCTTTCGTTCAGATAAATAAGTTTATGACAGACCGGACACGAGAGGGACAGAGAGTTAACGGTGTGGAGAAAGGGTGGAAATAGGATGGCCTGGATGTTAGGCGTCCCGACATAACTGTTCGGTCGGGAGTTGCAAATCACTCCGGAGTCGGTCTCACTAATGAGGCTTAGTTTGTCGGCGTCGCTCATCTCACTGCCGGCTGTACTACAAGTGGCACTGATATCACCGCTAATACTATTGGTGTGAACGCTTTCGTCGGCACTTTGATGGACAGTTGCCGTCACGATATATGTGGAAGCGTTGATCGGCGAAGTAATGGGAACTGCATTTATGTTATTATTGTTTGAAGTGTTCATTTGGTTTGTATTAACGGGTTGTTGGAGTCCGAGAGCGCAGGTAAGACATAGTGTGTGATAACAGGGCATAAGTATTGGGTTCGTAAAGAACTGCTTACAAACGGCACACTTAAGCTCTTCTTCCATTGTTTCACTGATTTCTCATTTAATGAATCAAATGAAGAGAAGATCACATATTTTGAGAAATGTTCAAATATTTTTCGTCAAACAAAGTGTTTGAAATGGGATTGAAGTCTGAGTTACGAGTCTTTGCCTAAAGCTATTCAAAAGCAAAGAGAGAGCGAAAAGTGAAACAAGTTTTCCAACTTTTGAACCTCTTTTTCAAATATTTGTTGCAATGCTTCCTATGGTTGAAGTTCTTGACTGACTTAACAATGTTGTGGTAACAGTGCTAACAGAGCAACACAGAGCACAGGGAACAGCACAAGTAGTTGACTGAACTTCAGCTTAAACTTCAATTCATGCCTTCAACACAACTCTCACTGAAAATGCAATGAATTTACTTTTTTCGAGGAGAGCTTCAATACGCAGACCCAGTCTTCAGATCCAATAGCTTTTACTACACAAATATTGCCTAATGTTTGCCACAACTCATGTCTCGACCTCTTTTGAGGCGATTACAAGTCTTTAACAGTGGAAACATTGATAACAAATGTTAGAAGAGATAAACTTTTTAATAATGTTTATATAAAGTTCCAAATGATATGACATTACTGTCTAATAAGTTATGTTTAATTACTTATAAACCTATTTAACATAGACTACAATACATCGCTTTGAGTATCCAAACGATGAGTTTGATTAACTTGTTTGGCATCACTGCTCTCAGGAGTGATCTAATTGTCCGCAAACTCTTCACAGTCAGCGCCGCTAACATTGAATGGAGCGGTAATAATGACCACAAGTATGACATTGTGATAGTCGGAGGCGGTATTGTCGGCACCGCCACCGCCAGAGAGCTGGCCATTAGGTTAGGCATCATATCAAGAGATAACTTGAATATTTATGTAAACCAATTAAAAGTGATTAATTAATAGAAATCCAAAGTTAAAGTTTGCTATCATTGAGAAGGAAAACAAATTGGGTATTGTTTTACAATATGTAAATTTTCTCAATCAATAAAACCATTTGTCAATAATCTACTCAAGCGTTTCACCAATCGGGCCATAATTCTGGTGTCATTCACGCCGGCATTTACTATAAACCGGGTTCACTAAAAGCAAAGTTATGTGTCGAGGGCTCAGCGCTGGCCTATAAGTATTTGGACCACAAGAAGATACCCTATAAGAAGATCGGAAAATTGATTGTTGCCGTCACTGACGATGAACTCAATGGACTCAATGATCTCTACCAAAGAGGTCTTCAAAATGGTGTTAAGGATATGATATTAGTTGAACAAAACGATATCCAGAATTATGAGCCCAAATGTGTGGGACTGAGAGCCATATGGAGTCCGCACACGGGAATTGTCGATTGGGCTCAAGTCAACGAGTCTTTCGGCAAAGATTTTGAGTCAATGGGCGGTAAAATCTATACTAATTTTAAGGCAAATAAGTTTGATTTAGAAGACGATTCCAATAACCAATTGGTTAGAGTTACGGACAGCACCGGTGATAAAGTGATTACCGCTAGATATGTAGTGACAGCGGCTGGACTTCAATCCGATCGGATCGCCAAACTAACCGCCGGTCAACAGAACCCTAAAATTGGTTATTATTATTTAATTCAATTTATAACGATTTGATAAACTTGTTGTAAAGTTGTGTTGATTTCCTCTTTCAGTTCCCTTTAGAGGAGAATATTTAATATTAAAGAAAGAGAAGAGCGATTTGGTTCGGACTAACATTTATCCCGTATGTATTGCTATAACCATCTAAGCATTCAATACAAAATCAATACAATTACATGTATGGTTTAGGTACCGGACCCCCGGTTCCCATTCTTGGGCGTACACTTTACACCGCGAATGGACGGCAGGTTTGTAAAAATGGTGATCAAAACTACTAACAATAATGAATCAATCATTTCTATAACAGTGTACTTCTCGGACCCAATGCTGTCCTGGCATTCAAACGCGAGGGCTATAAAAAGAGTGACTTTAGTATTGCCGACGTCTGGGAAACGATTAAATACAGCGGATTTAGAAAACTTGGTATTTTGGAGAATAACGCAAACATTAACTACAAATTGTTTAATTTAATTATTTGTATATAGCGTTCAAATATTTAGGCCAAGGTTTTAGCGAACTTTATAGAAGTTATCGGACCACAGCTCAGGTGGAATTGCTTCGCAAATATGTGCCCTCTTTGACCATCGATGACATCGAACCCAACAGTTATCGGGCGGGCATTAGAGCCCAGGCTCTCGATGAAAATGGTAAACATTACGGTTGATTCAAATTAATTGATAATTCATATAAATATATTGAAATGATAGGCAATTTAGTCGATGACTTTGTGTTTGACATCGGGAGCGAAGGCATAGGGAAGCGAGTGCTTCACGTGCGCAACGCTCCGTCTCCGGGCGCCACCTCTTCGCTGGCCATCGCGAAGATGATCGCAGATAAGGCTCAACAATGTTTTGCAATATAATTGATGACAAAATTGTTATTTTAATTAAATAAATCATATGATTATTAAAATAATAGATACATAAATGGGAGAAATAAGTGTTATTTATATGTATAAGTGTTTGTGATTATATGAGATCCGCCACATTCATCGGCATTTCATCGATTTGTGTGCTGTAGTACTGCTCGATATCCCTTAAGATCCTGATGTCGTCATTCTTTACAAAAT